AAATGTGTATTAAATGGAAATAGAAATCAACGAATCTAAAATAGAATGACCGATGTCGAATAATGATATACGAAGAATGACTTCATCGTTTTTCTACATCTTCTCTTTACAATAAGATAGAAAATAAGAGAAGGAAGAGAATGAGAGAGAATCATAGCCTGAAAAAAAAAGAATGAATCGGCCTGCCTATACGGGTAGCGTTTATTTGTGTGTACAAGTTTGTTTGAAATATATAGTGAAGAGAATCATTCGGATGCCGTATGCAAACAAAAGAAAAGAAAAATAGATTTATCCTATCCTATCCTATCCTCTCTCTCTCTCTCTCTTCTTCCATCGTACAGATATAAGGCATTATCACTAGACGTTCACAGATGCCGAGAATTTATCATACAAATAAATTCAGCAAGTGAAGAATGTATTAAGAGAGAAAAAATATATTCAGGCCTTTTTCTTCTTTGTACATTCCATAGGGATTAAAAAAACAGGCCTGCTTCTTCATGATTGACATGACTATGCTAGATCTAACAAATTTTATGTTAATAATCAACATAGAATGATATGAAAAAATATCATTGGATAGTATGCACGTGTCGAAAACTCTTCTTAGTAAAAGAAATTTGATCAGAATATATTTGTTCATTTAAATGACAAGTAAGAAGGATTTAAACAAAGGTATATGTGATTATATCGTACAAATAGGCATATTCACAAAGTGAGAGAATTGGTGGTATTGTTATTAGTAGGTAACATATCCTTTCATATTGACTTTCAATTTCATATGCTTCAAGTTTACACACAATACTAATCGAATTATATTACATGTATTAGTCTCTAAGGAAGAATAAATTTCAACGTATCATCGTCGTTTTTTTCTGTCTTTTAATCAACCCTAAAAAATATTATAATATTATTATTGGTAACGAAACGTAAGAAAATCTTCCATGTTCAATGACATAAGATATATTTTAACAAAAAAAAAAGCACAACCTTCTCTTGTCAAATTAAAGAAGTCGAGATGTTTCATGAATAATAATTGTTGACAAAGCATAAACATATTATGATTGGATGTTTCATTTACTATGATAATCTCAATTCAAAACAGATATGATTGTCAACGTAGTGTTATGAATACTAGTTTGATGAATAGATTACAATCTGTGCTACATATTTTATATTAGTTGTATTTAATCTCACAAATTAATAAAAAGAGGTGATAATATTCTTCTTTTTTTTCATTAGTATGCAATTCATATATAGACTTCTCTTTTTCTATTCTCAATAGATTTAGTATGTGAATAATTTATATCTATTCGATCTAGACAACGGTTCATTATTTTTATTTTTATTGTTTCGAATTTGTAAAAGAACTCACACAGAGAACAAATCATTTCTATTTGGATATGCTATCTATGGCTGTTGTTTTTATTTCGCTCTCTTTCTTTTGATGGCCCCATCAGTTGTACTAAAAAAAAGAAACGTTTGTTAACTATCGATCAATCTATCATCGAACACTTGTTTTTTTTATATGTCTGTAAAGCGGAACATCGATCATCTCTCTTATTATTCTGTTAAAGATGGATATCGAAGAATGAATATCTATTGGTATTTGTCAGATCATTGTTTATTTGATCGGCTTAAATCAATAAAAAAGAAAAAGAAAAAGAAAAAACCGAGGTACAAACTATTCATCATTATTAATGATTGATTGATTGATGATGTTTTTAGTATCAAATTTCGAAAGGAATCATCAAATTGCTTGTTACTATTGATATTTTTAACGTAAATGTATGATTAACTATTTAATTATACTACAAACGTTTTGCCTTTATGTAATTTATGTGTTGAACTTATGTTAACATCTGTATTCATTTTCAGTTCTTCAGGACATACATATTTTTTGATCAATTATCAATAGAAAAACAATAAGTATATAACGTAATTGTTAGTCTTACGCAAAATAATATTGAAAAAGGGTACAATAACGGAATTCATTATTGTTAGTAGATAGAAGAAGATTGTTTACACAGACAGTTTCTAAAACAATAATCTTTTAACGAACTTTAATCTTTGAGTAAAATAAATTACATTCTCTCAGTCATATAACATATTCGAAATAACATACATAGTTGATTAAAATATTTATATCCATATTCTTTTAGTGATACTAATTCGCTCTCCGGTACATTTTTTACTGAAGATTTACTACAGTAAAGTTGATACTGAAAGATTGTAATCTCCTTATGATAAATAATGTTATATAGAAATAGAGTTTGCGTTAGTAGAATTTTAATGCATAATTAAATAATTCATTGAAAATATTTTTTTATATTGTTTTCTTAGAAAGAGGTATCTATATAAATATACTATTTATTTTTTTTGTAAAACTGATTTTGTTACTTTTATCTTTCTCTTTATACAAACTGATCCGTTTGTGTTTATTTCTTTTTACACAAGAAAGAAACTCGTCTGTATCTAATATCAAGTTGGAGTACGTAAAGCACAGATGCGCACTCCATTGTTTTATTCTTGCCTGTTTAATACGAAAAATAATGTAGATAACACAAAAAAAATAATAGAAAAAAGGAAGAAGAATCAAAGTATCGGTTGTTCTCAATCAACAAATAGAAAAAGAAATGAGCATCACAAAGTTTATATCAAGAGTACATAAAAAGAAAATAGTTCTCAATATTCATGCTCATACACAAAAAATACACCAAAAAGTTCTCTTGTTTACAATAGGATATGCATGAATTACTCAGTTTCGATACATGCCAATTGGGATAATGATTGACTATGATTATCAGTTGATTCCATTGATTCATTTGCTAATGAATCATTATGAATATTTCCACTAGGTATTGCTGTTTTTAGTTGAAGAAGAGATTGCGCTTGTTCTAAAGTAAATTGTGCACTACGCGTACGTTGAAATGAACGTGCATCATTATCTTCATTTGATATATTTTGTGATGGTGACAATTGCCATGATGTTTGCATTTGTTGTTTTAGCCAATTAATAGCAGCTTCCCATTGAGTAGCAGTTGAAGAAAAATACTCTCTACAAACACTGTTCCTAGAAGAAAAAAATTAGAAATAAATTTTTTTCATTATACAAATATAGATTTTATATTTACTTATTAGATAGTGTAATAAGAAATTTGACTGTTTGATAAGCACGTCGTTGTTCTGTTTCAATACTTGTTTGAATAAGTGAATAAAGTCCATTGAAATTTTGTGAACTATCCTTAGTATTAAGTTCACTGTTTCCTTCGAATGCTAACTGAAGACGTTTTGTTTGAAATGAATCTTCAATTAACTAAAATAAGAAAAATATTTCATGAAATAAAACTAATGAAAAATGAAATTAAACTTACTAATATATTATTAAGTAATTTAAATAATGATTTCAAATCATTTGTATGAGCTTGACTAATTGATAATAAAATATTTCTAATAAGTTGTTCAGAAAATTGTTCATTATCTTTCGCTAATGTTTCCATTAATTTTAAAGTTTGTACTAATTGTGTTGTAGATACTTCTTGAAATGCATAACATATTTCTTTTAAATATCTATTTGTCCATTGTCCAGATGTATAAATATTAATTTCATTTTGTATTTCTAAATATTCAGCTGAAGAATTTTTATTCATTGAATAAACATGTAAAGTTATTATAGAAATAATTTCATGTATAATACCAAATTCTTTAGCTTGTCCTGAATTCCATCGTCTATTATCAATATAATCACCTAATAGAAATTTCATTAAACGTGGAAATGTATTTAATTTTATTAGATATTCAATAGATATTTGATTCATATTAGCATAACTATAGATTAATTCAAAATAAGCTTGTGAATGTTTAATTTGTTCAACAACAGATTTATCTAACAAGATTATTAATTGTTCAATAAATAATTCAATATTTTTCATTTGATCATCATGTATATAACTTGATTGTAAAATATTTTCACATATTCGTTCAAATATTTGTCGTATTTCATAAATAGGACAATCAAGTAAATATAATTTTAAACGATTTTCTTCATTTTCAAATAATAAATCATAAAAAATTTTACATGATAATGAATTTTTTTGAAAAAGACGTGATAATAATTGTACCCAATCATCCAATGTATTTTTACGTAGACGACGATGTGTACGAAGATGTGTATTAAATAGAAAATTTAATGCTAATTTTGTACATAATTTATACGATGAAATATTCATATTAGTTGATTGAATATTATTAGTTTCATAAATAATTTCATCAAAACATATATTTGATAAATTATATATAAATCGAAAATAATCTTCACAATATGTGTCACGATTTTTTAAAAATTCTAAATTTTCATCTTTAACACACGCTAGAACACGTGATGGTATTAAAGATTTTTTTATTTGAAATAAATCATTATGTTCACTTTGAACAACTAAATCAGCTAATTGTGATAATGAATCACGTTGATTTCGTCGTGATATATGATGATTACGTGATGATAAACGATTAAAATTTGATGGTGGTGGAAGTAATTTTGATGGTTCAATACATTGATATATAAGTATGTATGCATTCCAAAAACGTGTACGTTCTTCATTTGAATTATTATGATTATCTTTTTGAACACGAAATGTTCCACCAAAACATTCTTCTTCAAGCATTTGTTCAGTTAATTGAATTTCTTCAACAGATGTATCATTAAAACGATACCATTGATTTGTATTATTTGAATAACGACAACGTGTATCTTTTATAAATGAATAATAATGACCAGCATTTGCTTGACCAGAATGAATAACAATACCAATTAATTCATAATTTATACTTGACATTGTATTCAATGGATTATTTAATGATGAGGATGTACGTGATAATGATGGCTTATCATCTAAGAGAAAAATTTAAATATAAATGCTATCTATTAGTTAAAAATAATTTAAAAAAAAGATTTAGACTCGTCATTTCCTACTTGAACGTGACTATTCAAAGATAAAGATGATCTTAGAATGGAGACATTCCAGGTACAGAAGAGATTACGTATATCATAAATAAAATAAAACGTTTTCGTTACCTGTTGTACTTGTTTTTGATGAATTAATTAATATATCATTATTTAAATTTGTATCTGTACTTGTAACTGGACTGTCTTGTTCAACAAAACTTTCACGTTTATTAACACCATCAACTGTATATGGTTCCATATTAAGTATTAAAGGAAATTTAAAATAATCATCAAATTTTAATGCACGATTATTTTCCCAATCGAAACCAAAACGTTTCATTTGTATACATAATAATGGTGGCAATTTTTTAATACATAATCGTTTAATTGTTGTTCGTTTTTCTTGACATTTAGCACAAAAATACTAGAAACGGTATTTCATTTTTTTTTAAAATATAAATAAGAAATCAATTTACTTACAGCATTAGTACCATCAAGAACTTCACCTTTAACAAATTGATTTAATGATTCATTAAGTGAATCAACTTTAACTGCAACATTTAATGCCATAAATTTTTCTTCACCTTCATAACGATGACGACAACCATTTGTACATATCATTTGATTACAAAAAATTCCTTCAAATTGTTTATGAAAAATTTCTTCTTGTTTTATACTTTTTAAATATTCATCAATTTGATCAGTCATTGCAGTAAAAAAATCGAAGGCATCTTGTTGTTCACGGACATTTATTTCTTGACCCCATAAACGAAATACTTTCCATAATGATTCAGGTGAATAATATTGCAATTTACTCTCCATTAAATGACCAAAAACTTGTTGAAGTTGATAAAATAAACTTGGTTCGCCATCAGTTTTATTTACTTTTCCATTTGAATTCTCACCATCATCATGAACACTTAATATATGTTCGGATATTTGTGGTAACATATATAATTGTTGAAGAATAGAATTCATATAACAAGTTGCACCACCTTAGAAAAATAAACATAACAATGACTCAATCTTTGTCCTAAAAATAACTTTCTATTCATGTTTTGTTTTTCGCATCGCGATATACTTATTTTTGGTAATAAACGAAACTTTACCTCCGATGATTATTAAGTTTTTCAATTTAGATAAAATACATAAACTTGTCTATGAGCTCAATAGAAATATCGTTGGATTTCATATACATCATTTATAATGATAATTTATATAGAAAACTCATTCGACATTCTCCGATTTCAAAACATACCATTCTGAAGCCCAACTAATCCACAAGATGCACGTGGATTGACTTGCGGCATAAACTAAACCAAATATAATCGATTGATTTTGTAAAATATATACATTAATATATTCAGACTTACTTCCCACTCAGTTTGTTTTTCAAGTAATGGTCTATGATGAAGATCAATAAGATCTTCAATAACAAGTTTTAAATTTTGTTGACAATGACGAACTAATTCAACAAGTACATCATACGCTGCAAGTCGACTTTCACTTGTTGAACATTTTGGTTCACAAGCATAATCATCATGTGTATCATTTTCATTATTTGATGGTACTATTGATAATGACATACGTTTAGATGCTGGAAATAAAAATTGATCAATAAGTAAACGTATAAAATCTTGTCCAAATTCATTTTTGTCTATATTTTCACATGTTAATAATGTTCGAATAAATTTTAAATGTCCCAAAAATAAAATATTATCGATTATACGTAATTCATTTGATGTTAATGATACAGTATATGTTGATAACCATGTGAATTCATCTTTCAATAATTGTTTTGCGTTAATATTAAGTATTTCTTGTTTTTCAATAGTTAAATTTTCTGTTAATTGACAACGTAAATCAAAATATTCAATTGATTGTGTGAGAATTTTTTGATTTGAATTACGTATACCACTACTTGACGATGACCATAAAGGTAATCGAGCTTTTAATAATATTTGATGTATTATTGAACGTATATCATATGTTGATGTTTCAATTTTACATAAACGATTGATATTATGTAATGCACATTGACGAACTTGACGAGATGTTGTACCAATTAAAATTTCCAAAAGATAATCAGCAAAAAATGATTGAATAAGAAAAGTTGCTAGAAACAAAAAATAAAATAGTTTTTCATAAAGATGCTAATATTGATTTGTATTAGACAATAAGAATAATGAATAAGACTTCACTCATGATTATTTACAAGAGATATGTACTTCATTTAGAGATTTCAAGTGCTCAATTTAATCGATAGATAACGAATTTAGAATACTGAATGTTGTTGACTTTATTACTTTAGAATCTAACAGTGGACAAGACTAAATTCAATATCTTATCTAGAGTATCATAAAATTAAATACATACATAAAAAAAGTATCGATTCCTATAAATTATACGCAGGGGCATACCGAGGTGTTGAAGGCAGGGGGGCGTAAAATCTCAGTACGTCAAGTTCAAAAAGCAAGGGGGGGGGCGCAACACCTCATGCGCCCCCTAGCCAGTATGCTCCTGATTATACGATGAACAATTCTTTTATTCATACTTACCAATAAATTCCGGTCGTTTTTCAAAGCAAAATGTAATAATTTCGATGATTTTTTCTGCTATTTCACTATCTAATGGTAAAATTGACTCTTTTTTTACACATATACCAAATTGTACTGTTTGTTGTATATTATTATCTGTCGATGAATCATTTGATAAAGAATTTTTACTATTATTTCGATTAATAACATTTGTATTTATTTGTTGTAATAATGTATAACGATCTAATTTAACTTCTTCTTTAATAGTTAAATTTTGTCCATGTAATTTAATATTTCCAGCTGCAGCTGCCCAACATAGAAAAATTAATTGTTTTATTTGTTCAACAAACGTATCAAATTGTAAATTTTCAACTGTTCCTTGAAAATCTAAATCAATTGTTGTTTCATTCATATTATCATTAACTGTTTGTGACATTTGTAATAATGATGATAATGGTGAGATTTGTGTAGATGTTGTTGATGATGATAAAATATTATCAATTGAATGATTAATATTATTACCACAAACTAATAATTGTATAAGTTGTAAAATATATATTATCATTTCTTGACATAATGTATATTGATATTCATTTGATATAAAATCAGTTAATGAATTAAGTAATTGAAATAAAAAATCTACACCTGATTGTTCAATAAAATCTTGTCGAAATAATTTTGAACTTTCTTGTATACCATTATTTGTTGATAGAGGTAAAATTTTACTTGATAAAATTTCAAGATTATAAAGTAATTGTATAAAACTACAATTATTTATATCAAATACATGTTCAATAGCTTGTCGAGGATTTATATTATTAGAATTTTCTGTTGATTGTCGTCGTTCAGTTGTACATACATTAACTGCACGTATTGATATATAATCAAGAAAATCATGTGTACGAGTATCTGATGGTATTAAACAAAGAAGATTTCTTATACGTTGATGAATATTTTTATTATTTAAATAAGATAATGTATAAAGTACATCATAAATTTTCGAATTTTCTACCATCATATTTGATGGTATTGAACGTGCTAAATCATCATTTGGATTTATATTAGTATTTTTATTACGTAGTGATGATAATGATAATGAATCATTTAAATATATACGTTTTGGTTCGGTACTAACTGATTTTATTGGTTGATTTGATGTACCACCTAAGATTTTTATATATACCGTTGTACCAGGTACAATATGAACTTGATATAAATATTTCGAATTTAACCATGCACCAAGAACACTATTGTTATTACTATTGTTATTATTATTGTTATTTGTATTTGATTGATTATTGGATGAATATGGTAATGCTATAGGATTTGAATTCATTCCAATATGATCATAGGATGGTGGTAATGGGCGAGTGTTTTGTATTGATATATGTATATCATGTGATAAAACTTTATAGAATTCTCCAAGACGTATACGCAACATTTCGAGTGTATCATTTGAATGAACAGTTACAATATCATACGAAGAAATTGTTTTACCTATTTCATCTAGAGTTATTTTTATTTGATATTCTAAACCATAAAATGATGTTATATGTGCTGTTGGTGAATGTTCATGTTCAACAATATGTATATATTCTTCTGTTATCATTAATAGACGTTCAATTTTTTGTAACCATAATGTATGATCAATTTCATCTGAATTAGATAGTTGAGACTCCGTTATTGTTGGTGTTGGTATTGTTATTAATTGTTCACCATAGGCTTTTAAAGAGTTATAAAATTGTTCCATTTCTTTAGTTAATACTGTTGATGGTGGTATAGCATTATTAAGTAAATAACTTAAACGTGTATAAACTTCTTTAAGAAAATATTCATGAAGTGATGTAGCTGTTAAACGACGAGTACGATTTGGTTGTTTTAAATAATATAAATCAAGTAGAAAACGTGTTGCTTCATTAGCTAAATTGTCATCGCTAACACATAAGATTATATTCCATAATTCATTTATACCATAATATTCTAGCATTTCATTCTATTTCGATAAAATATAGAAATTTATTTATTTTTCTGCAAAAATATTCACTTACATTAATCGATGTAGATGTATTTGGATTATAATTAAATCTACTTGTTGAATTTCCTCGTTCTGACTCACATCTTTCGAAATATAATTTAAAACAAGCATAACCTATTTTAAGAATAAAATAGAATTCGAAATATATTTATTGAATTTTAAATTTCTACCTTTAGGTGATAAATGAATTGGATCAAGTTTTGATACACGTTCTTCAAATAAAGCTTTTTGAGATTCACGATTAAGATCTTCTAAACATGTTATAAACCAATTTAATCCGAGTTCATGATCAAATGAATTCACATGTTTATTTGTTATTAATGTATCCCATAATTCTTCACTACGTTTTAATATTAAAAAAAGATTTCCTTTTTTCAATAAAAATGATAATAAATCTAAATGATTTCTTGTTGATTCTTCATGTGTATAACGACCATCAACTAATGTATCGATAGTTACATGTCCATCAGTTTTATTCCAAACATCTAATTGACATGTTGATAAACTTTGAATTAATGCGGAGATTAAATCATGATTTTGAACTAATACTGATATAAGATCTTGATCCGTACGTTTAAATGTATTTGTTGAATCATGACGTAATAAATCATATAGATGTTTTATAGCTGGTGCTAACCAACCTTGTTTACGTTGTAAATCATTCATACATTTAAGACAATAATCACGTTTAAGTATATCATATGGTGAACGACCTTCACTAAATATACGTAAATGACAATATAGAATATGATCAAGCATAGAACGACTAAGATGTTCTTCATGTGCCATATCCCAAAGAATTTCTAACACACGAGCAGCCGATTCTTTTTGACATTCTCGACCAATTGCACCAAGTAATTCAATAAGTTTTTCTTGAATAAGAATTGTTTCGATTTTCCAAGACTTTCAATAATAAACAAAACAAAGTCAAGGTCAAAAAACTTAAAAAAAATTAATTTACATCATAGATAAATTCAATTAGATAGTCAAGTTGTTGCAAATTAAATTTTGCAGCTGCTGATGCAATCAATGTAAACAAATGATCAACAGCAACTAACGAACGACCATGCTAGAAATATACGTGTCGAATTCTGATTGCACTGTTATTTATTTAAAAAAATGAGTCTTACCTGCATTTTCCATATAGTTTCAATTTCTTCTTTCGAAATTTTTGTTGCAATAAAATCTAATAATGTTCGAACTTTATCAACATATTGATTTTGATCGATATTTCCTATTGATAATTTAATTATTAAAAGTATTTTATAATCTTTTTTCTTTTACCTTCAAGTGCTTTTGAAAGTATAGAATTTTCAATAATCCAATCACTAATAACTTCACGTCGAATAGATGTTTTAGACATATTCTGTATATTCGATGTAGAATTTTCAATTATTTTTGCTAACTAAAATAAATATTTATCTTTCTAATCGATTGAATTTTTTTAATTTACTTCTTTTAATGAATTCATTTTAGCATTAAAATTTGATAATGCAATCATTTTAAGTAATAAATTAAGATGTAGTTGTTCGACTTGTTCAAGACGATTATGCCATGCAGCTGCACATATATTACGTAATGTTGTTAATAATTCAAATATTGAATTAGCTGACTAAAATGTATAGAAGAAAAAAATTTTTATTTGACAATTTAATATAACAACAAACTTTAGCTTTAAAATCTTCGTCTTTTAGATTTATAATATATTCCAATGCTTGATCAATATGTTCACCAAATAATTGTCGATATTTATCTAAGGATATATAATCCATACAATTAACAAATGGTGAAAGTAAGGCATTATATTCCTAAAAGAATCAAATGACAAACATGTTCGTTATTGTACTATTTCTTACAAGAGCTGTTAATGGTTTTTCATTTTGAAATTGTTGTTTTAAATTTGTAAGTCCATCTTTGTATACGAAACGATTTATTATTTGACATAACCAACCGTATGTTTCATTTCGATTATATACAGAAAAGGCGGATACTGATGGCGGACTAGCTAATGTACGATCTCCTAATTGTTTGTCATATAAGGAACGATCGTATGTTTTTGATTTATGTTTTCGTTGAAAAACAGAATCATAATCAAATAATATAGTTAATGTTTCAAGTAATTTAACAGGAACAGGTGAATAAGCTAAACGTGCTGAGATTAAATCGACTACTAATTCAACCATATCAAATACACCTAATTGAATTTCCATTGCCCAATTATTAACATGATAAGAACATTGTAACTGATTGTAAGAAAAGAAATAGATGTTACGAAATCAATTAAATAAGTGTTATACTTTTCGAAAAGCTTCAGGGATTAAATTTTCCATAAATTTAAGACAATGTTTATCTTGATCCGCAGTACCTATTAGAAAAAAGATACTTACAACACAGAATATTTATTTCATCAGAATTACCGGTAAGCGCAAGTTTTGTTGCTGATAAAAGACATTGACCAAGAGCTTCTTCACCTGAATAATAGAAAATTATTTTATTTTTTAATGAATGTCATTTTATACAAAAGTATCAAATAAAATAAAATTAAAATGTAAATAACTAAGCATCAATGTGTGTTTTAAGTGTTCATTTCAAACGTGACTTGATTTTTAAATAAGGGCATGCACGATCATATGATATACATACATCAGAACAATACTGAATTTTTATTGATATATTTCTCCGTTATTACAAGTAAGATGAACAGAATCAAACTAAATGTATTCAGTCAATGAAATGATGAGCTATTCATCAGCGATGCAGAATCTTTCTTGTGCGCCCCCGCATGGGGAGGAAATTTTTGTAAATTCTGGAGAATTTTTCAAAAAACATTTTCCCAGAAAGGGAAATTTTTGGTTTTTGCGAAGATTTTACACCTCTATTATTCACTTTATATCATTTGAAACATAACTCATGATATTAGAAATATCTACTGGTATTATACATTCGATATGGATTATTAACGATCTCGTGTATGTATTCTATTTTTTTTTTTACTTTAGTTATTTTACAATTTCAACCGCGTGTATGATACATTACATCAATATTTTTATGTATCATCATCACAAAGCAATTAACAATGAAGAACAAAAAATAAATGAATGATAAAAATCTTACTACATAAGTGTGTTTTTGAAACTAATTATATATATATAATGTATATAGTTTAATGGGTTCCATTAACGCTCCATTTCTTCATTAATTGTATACTACATTTATTTTGATATGTGTAAATTTCGAATATATATTACTATTTCTTTCGTCATTTTTCATAAACATCTATGTTTCTTCCGTTATTAAGACATTCAACTTTGTTCAGAACAGGTAAAAAACACATACACACACACCCTTTCATTTGATGCAATATATGTTTACAGAAAAAAGTAAGTTATATTATATTATTCAATTGAATTTTAAATATAGAAACTCATTGAGAAATCTTCTTTTAACATTTATAAGATTTTTTTTCTTTAAAAGCTATACTTACGTTTATAAGGTATTGACCAACTATCCCCATAAACTTTTGTTTCAAGATCAAGAAAAGCATTTGTCGTAAATGAATCGAAACTATTTATTGTTAACTCAGTAGATATTACGGAATGTGAACCATTTGTATTCTCATTTGAAGGAACCTTTAATAGAAAAAGAATAAAAATGTTTCATTTGTTTATTTATCTTTGAAAAGTTTTAAACCGTTTTTTTCGACTTGAATAATTTACTCATAAGTTTTCGTTTAAAACGCCCCATAATTCGTAAGAAGATAAAAAATAAATCGAATGAAACTCCGAAAAACATATTTATTTCTTTCTATTTATTTTTCTTTTCTTATCTTCCTTTTCTTTGTCATGTGTTTTTTTCTTACCGCTTGTTGTTGTTGTTGTTGTTGTTGTTCGAGTTGTTCTTTTGAAAGTGGACCGATGAACGTTGATGTTGTTGTTTCAACTGGTATTTGAACGTCATCATTAAAATAATTTGTAGTAGTTAGAATAGTTATTGCTTCACCTATGTCATTATTTGCTTTAGTTAATATTCTACGATTTAAATCTCGATCAATAAATCCCATAGATATTAAAGATTCTATATTATCTTCCATAGTTAATATATCATTCGACATTATTGAAGAACAAGCACTGATAGTATTACTATTTTAGTTTTGAAAAACAAATAATAAATGTTTTCATTAGTAATTAAAATAAATATATATAAATATACCTGGCGACACAAAGTTTATTTCGTTGAGTACAGGAACGTTTAGGAGAATTATTATTGGTAGTTTCGATTAAAGAAGAACTTACCGTGTGAGCGCTGCGTTTCATCACGGTAATAATGATTTATATAATTTAATTCCATCTGGAAATAAGAAAGAATATAAGTTTCTTTTATTATTCAGTTAACTTGTCGAAAAAAGAAAAACATGTTTGATTTATTTACCAAAATAGAAACATCGTCTGCATCATCAACCCGTTTTACACGTGATATAAATGTTTATTGCGTGTTCTGTTCTTTTTCTTTTTTCTTCAATGGATTTCTGTTATGAAAAGCTTGTTTAATTTATCGTTCCAGTGCACACAAGTAACTGCGATATAGTTGAAATTTGTAAATAATAATTAAAGTTTTTGTAATTGATCAAGTAAATATATCTAAATATAATTATACTAGTTTATCATGAACGGATAAGGTCATTTCAATGTATATGTAGAATTAAAAGTAGATATTCTCTTAAAAAGGAATTAATCGTTAATGCATTTTAATTATAATCGAATTAAAACAAAATTTCGAATGTTATATTCATTGGTTATAATTTAAAACCAATCAAATAGATATTGTATGAATACAAAAGAATAATGGACTGGATTTTTGACTTTTCTTTCTTCCTTCCTTTCTTTCTTTCTTCATCATCATCTTTGTACAATAGTGTTGATTTAAAGACCAAATCGATTTACTTAAGAATCCAACAAAGTGCATATATATATATGATTAAAGAAAAGGCTAGTAAAACTGTTTTATTTCTTGGCTTTTTTTCTTCTTCCGTATATACATAAATGAAACCTTGTATTGTTACATATGAATGTAAAAAAAAAGGAGCGGGAGAAAAAGACAAACTTAATGAAATGGTTCAAATAAACGATAACGATATGACAAGAAAAAAATTGTAAAAGTTAATTTTTGATTGTTTCTGTCTTTTTTTTTCTGCTCGAAAGGAGATATCGATTGTATAGAGGCGTCGAGGATGGGTCTCTTTCTAGCGTGCATATATCGAGTGTGTAATTTGATCGTTTATTGACTGTATTCGATGCACACATAAACTTATGCAACGTCACCAGCAAAACGCCGATGGTTCAGACTATATGTGAGTAAATGTGGATGTGTACTCGTCGATTGATGATGGTGACATGCAACTAATCAAATTGAATGTTTCTTTTTCTTCGTTTTTTTTTTTCGTTAGCAATCGTCGCCAGCGCTTCTCATCAATTTATGTTCATTCATGTACAGTTTTTGTTGACATCGTTTTTTACAAGTTATTTGTAAGTGACCACTTGAATTAGTACGCGCTCTGAGTCGAATCTTGAAGAACGCCTTTAATTCTATTCCATTGAGTGAATATCTATCGTATGGTATAGGATTGATTAAATAATGAATAAGAGAATACAACTGAGTATAGATTGCAATAAAAGGTTGAGACCTTGAATGCAAAGCGCATAGTGTTCTCTTCATCGGGGTCAGTATCTCTTTAAAAGGGCAACGTTGAGTGTTTCACAACATGAATATACACAATCCATGATAGTGTCAAATCTAGCACCAATCCGTCAAATTAGTTTGGAACTTGATGTTGTACTTATATTACAAGAGCAATCTATTTTCCTTCCGTTTTTTTTTTATGCCTTATAGTTTTGTGGTGCTTATTCTTTTTTTTCTCTCTTTATTAAATGCAGCTGGACGTATTTTGACCGGTCGGCGGCGTCAGCATCGGTAGGTTGACTCGTTTCATCATGCAGATTCATCCATCAAATATGCGTGCTCGATTTTTTCATCTTGTTCTTTTGTCTTTCTCTCTGTCTCTGTCTCTGTGTCTGTCTTTTTCTCTCCCTCTCTCTCTCTTTCTGTATGTATGAGACTATGTGTGTGGGTTTCGTTGCACTGAAGAATGGAAGCAAATGCACACACACATCTAGAGAGACAACAGAAAAAAAGCGCGAGACACCAAAGAAAGAACGTTATTCACTCAATGCTTGTTCTCTTCTTTCACTCTAGTTAGGGCGATGATGGTCATCTTTTTTTTTTCAAGTAGACTGGGAATACAGGAGAAGGAAAAAATCATAGAATAAGAAGAAATGTTCATGTCGGCTACATTTTACATGAATGTGCATGCATGCTCGTTTGCATCTTATAACATCACTATAAAAAGAACGACAGAGAGGGAGAGAAAAATAGTAGTATAATAGCATTGAGAAAATATCGTCTCGCCTCCATAGTTTATATATACACGAGCTATGATCAGATATACGTTATGCATCATATATGATATTATTATACATTCTTCTTTCGTTCGTGTCAATGTGTGTGTGGGATGCGCCATAGAAATAAGATATGTGGAATGAATAGATGATTTTAGTATGCAAGTGGTAGCAACTGCACGTTTAAAATCAGTAGTTGCAGGTACGTGATAATACGCCAAGTTTTTATTTATCAAAATTTCCAATTTTTTTTTTCTTCTCTTTCTCTTAGAGTATATATATAACATAGTTCATTGTTGTCTATTCGTCTCATGGATGTTATTATCATTTTTTTTGGCACATTCATACAAGCATACACGCACATAATCATGTTATCATGTCACTCACCAGCGTCGCAGTCCTTTTTTCTTTCTCTTTTCCTTTACTTCGCGTGTATATATGTCATTGACACTCACTATTGTGCAATATGAACGGTCAGCATTTTGTCATCATCATTTTCTTGTTTCTTTACTGCTTCATCTGTTCCTGCAAACAATCATAATATACGCACGATCGACAGTAAAAATATAATGTTGGACGCGCGTGCACGCATGTGTGTATGTAGTTTGTAATTGTCGGCACCAATTATAGATGGTTGAGCATCAGAGAATCTTTAAGTGTCGCGTTTAACCCTATAGGATCTTTTCTCTTATATTTTATTCGTATTTCTTACATGGTCAAGATACACACTACAGACAAAAAAATGATGATCACAGAGCGTATAAATCACGAGTTGACTCATCTTTTTTTTCTTCTCTTTCTTCTCTTCTCATATTTCCAAGGTTAGTATTCGACAATTTTCTTTAGATAATTAGTTTCATTTTTTATCTTTCCTTTAGTAATAACTGAGTATTATTACCTAGCACTTCCTTCAGTCTTTAAAGGTCGATGGTAATAGCAGACTATTTTTCTCACACACACACACGCGCATATATATAATCAATGCTTTCTTTTTCTTACATTGAACAAACTTATATTTATCATAGACATTTATTTTATATATTTGTAAGATAAAAAAAAATTTTAATTTTTATTGAAGATGAACTATGCATAATGATCTGATGTTATTCTACTCTTTATTTTTCTTCTCTCTAACAATAACAATTATTTTTGGACAACAAACAACACTTTATGTCAAACGTGGTGATATAGCTGAATTATGTGACAATCGTTCAACATCAATTTATGCTTATGAATATCGAAGTTTTGATGGTAAAAAAAATTTAATTGTTGAACCAACTAAAGATGATCGTTATTCAAATCCGTATCGTACAAGTTTATTACGAATAAATAATGTTAATGAAGATGATAGTGGATTATATAAATGTCCACAAGATGATACGGATTGGCAAAAACTTCAAGTCTATAGTAAGTTTAACAATAAAACAGAGAACGAGAAAAAAAAGATAAACTTTAATTACATAATCATTTGATACTATATCATTTTTAATATTGACAAAAAAAAGAAAGAAATGAATTATTCGACAGTCGATTTATTCTCAATCAAACGATTGTATTCATACGATCGATGATTAGAACAAGATAAACTACTTTTGTATGTTATTATAGAAAAAGAAATAGACGTCGATGAGTGATTAATGGATCTATCGAATGAGTTCTTTGAAAATGAAGCCATTTTATTTTGTTGTTTTTCTTAGTTCCCGTTCAACATATATATTTGAACAATCTACATACAACATCACGAACTCGTACAAATGATTTCTGTGGAATTGATAATAATAATTGTTTAGTTATGGTTGAAGGTGAACCATTAGATATTGTTTGTGCTGTTGATGGTTCACCTCGTCCAGCTCTTGATATATCATTAGATAAAAATGGTACCACACCAACAATTATGGCATTAGCAAGTGGTATTCAATCTCCATCTATCATCAATAATCTCTTTAAACCAAGTGTCTATGAAGCTTATCGTATTGCTGGATTAAAATCATCGGATAATGGACGAAATCTTACATGTCGTGTTGATATGAAACAAATTAATAAACAACTTATGCTATCAGTAACAAAACAATTATATATTGAATGTAATAGTTAATTCATTTTTAGTATTGATACTAAAGTATATTTTTTTTCTCATTAATTTAGTTCGACCAACTGTTATAGAAAAATCAAGGAAAATCTATTCAGGTATCAATCAAACACGTACTATTAACTGTACTGTTGTACGTGCTAATCCAACATATATACGTTATACAATCAATGGTTTAGCTCCATCAATTATTCAGCGACCATCTGGTGGTGATCAAAATCAATTACAATATACATTTGATATAACACCAACATCAATCGAACAATTTCGTCCATTTAATGTAACTGCTAATAATAGCATTGGTTTTGATACATGCACATATGAATTAATTCATGGAGGTAGAATTTTTTAATGATTTAATTGAGATTATAACTAAGTCTAGGATTTTTCATACAAAAATAACATCTTTAATTTACCTTTTGATCTCCTTTTTTTTAAAAATAATCTGAGTTTTATTTATAATTCTAATTATAAACAATACTAAGAAATGAAATCGTCTTTTAAGTACATTATAGATATTTCGATAAAAATATATCGACATTAGTTGATTAATTATATGTAACAAAAATTTCTTCATTATCACTTTGCATGACGCTCTATTCACATCATATAACTTTTTATATACATTGTTCTTACGCAATAAACTCATTATGAGTCCCAAAGATCAATAACTTCGTTTATAATCAGCAAAATTCTTTTTCCGCTAGTTAATATTGCACGTCATATGGGAATTTCAAAAAGAAAGAAAAGAATAGTTGAGACTATAGCTAAAACATCATCTTTAAATATATGAGTGTTTAATACATCAGTAAATTGATTAATCAGTTATACTTTGTTGAATTGATGTAGAACAATCACACAATGTATGAAGCTATCTGATTGAATTTCTCTGAATAAGAAATTTTCAAATGACTAAAAACTCATTCGCATAAAATACGAGTCATTCTTATGTTATTATTTATAAATTTAACAAATTAAGAATATGTTCGATCGTTGTAATTGTATGCATCCTTGACGAAATTTTTTTATTATGACATTATAATATATAGAGTTTTTATTGATGTCGTTAGTTAAAATTCAATCGTATGTCTAAAAAGGAATATACACATTTTAAAAACTACTTTAAATTGCGTAGGACTTGTTACATTATTTTCTATAGATATTGAAATTTTATTTTCATTTTTAGGTGTACCGGATGCTATAAGTCAGTGTACAGTTGATACTTATTCATCAAATGTAACTATAACAATAAGTTGTACGAAAAGTTATGCACAAGGTGATAATGATGGTTATGTCTGTACATTATTTAAATATAATGATAAAGATAATCGAAAAATGTTTGAAGAAATTGCTCGAACAAAATCTTGTATATTTGCATTAGAAAATTTTCATGAACCTGTAGAATTTCGTGTCTCAGCATTTAATCGTTACGGTTCATTATCAATTAATACACATGGTTATGTTATACAATTAAATCAGCCAACATGTAATTAATTAATAAATATATATATAATTCTTCTGTTTGTTTTTTAGTACGAAAAGATACACCATTTTTTAATAAGAAAATTCTTGTTGTTATTGGTAGTATATTTGGTGGTGCAATTTTATTCTTTTTTCTTTGTTGTCTTTGTGGAACATGTCATCGTGATCGATCAAAACTTGCTGAAAGAAACAATTTCTATCAAAAAGATAGTAAGTTATAATTTATTTGTATATTTGTATTTTTTTTAATCACATAATAAAATATCCTTCAGCATTACCAGTGGCAATGGAAAAATCTTGTATTGTTTCTGTACATCAGATACAATCTTCTCCTCCTTCTTCTTCTCCTCTTCCTATTATTCCTTCAACGTATGTTTTCCAATTAGTTACATAAAAATCGACAATCGAGCATGATATATTATGCATGTTATTGTTTTTCTTTTCCGCTATTAAGTTTTTTATTCGACCGACAAAACAAATCGATTAGATTATTGTGTATATTAAGAAATATATATATTTTTATTTATTTATTTTCTATAGAATATCCGCGCTCGTCGACCGAGAGCGAATCATTAAAACCAATAACTGGTAAATATTTGTTATTGAAATCATATTTTATAATAATAAGAATTTCATTTTGTTAGATGAGACTATTTCACATTTAGTTCCAAATGGTAATCATCAACATCATCCAGTTAGTTGATATATTTATTCTTCGAAAAGATTTCATATTTTACTTATTCTTTTTTTTAGAATGGAGCTGTTTATGATATTCCAACTCATTTAAATGGTAAATATTCTCAACAACCATCTTCACCCTCATCTGTTTATCATCAACAAAAACCTCAACAATCAGCAAATATACATTATATTGATCAAGAGTCAATAACAAATAGTCTTAATACAATACCAACACGAGCACGCACATTTAATAACAAATTTTATGGTAATCCACTAAATGACAATAAATATGGACCAATGACTCCAACAAATATACTTGCATCAACAAGAAAAATGCTTCATGATACTGATGAAAATAATGAAGAAGAAGATGAATCACCTGTTTATTCAACAACAACTGATGTTATGTCTGAAAGTGGTTCATTTCTTGTGTCATCATCATCAACAAAACGTCGGGCACCACCTCCACCTAAACCACGTTATTCAACTCTAGGTTCTATTCGTTTACCAATAGATAGTCTAGATAAACATCCGATGCCATTACCTAAACCACGATCACGTTCAAATTCACGTACACGTTTAAATAATGGAAGTTCAGATAATTCTTCATATTTATATGAAGAACGTCTTGTATCATCATCAGATTCTGGTATAGGACCATCCGATGTTGTTTGTTTACCTAATGGTGATACAATACGTTCAGGTCTTGTTAAATTACGACAAAATAGTTTACAAAAAAATTCACCTAATTCACCATTCTTTTTACCGCCAGCGAAATATGAATCATTGACATCACCTATTGTTCGTGGTACTGAGTGTTAAACTATGTTTTTTCGTTTTCTTCTTCATCTCTCTTTCTCTCTCTCTCTTTTTTTCTGTATATATTATCTATGTGTATCGACTGGTATTATTCGATTCTAAGAACTACCTAAATACAGTATTGAAAACAGACGCAACGTAAAAGAATATTTGTTATTGTCTTTTTTTTGTATTACGCGTTTGTGAGGTTTTTTTTACTATTTCTTTGTTTCCTACTATTAATTAGTTTTTTTTGTTAATACTTATGATATGATCTATTCAGATTACCTGTTTTCTTTTTCTTTTTGTTTGTATTTGTATAAAAAAAAAGAAAACAACAACAACAACAAAAGAAATTCAAATTTAAATTAATGAATAAATAATAATACGCTCTATGACAATGTGTATGTCACAAAGCAAAGATTCGAACGTTTATCTTCTTTTTCTTTTAGAAAATGGTTGATCCTTATGATTTCATAGGTTCACCTACAGGTAAAAAATCTAAACAAACACGTAAAAAACCAATAATAAAAACTTCTAAGAAGAAAAGAAAATCAAATGAAAAGTCACGACGTGTATCAATTCGACAAACAAATAATACAGTTCATATACGCACACGATCGAATACACGTGATACGAATCAATTAGATGATGTAAATGATAAAGAAAATAATTCTAATAATGGTTTTACACAACTAATTCAAACTAAAATGATGGAAGTCAAAAAACAGCAACAACATAAACGTACAAATAAACAAACAAATGTAATAGCAGATGAAAATCAATCACCATCAATATCAAGAAAACGACAACGAATAGGTAGATTTTTAAATGTTAATTTTATTTCTATTTATTTTTCTTTTATTAATTAGATAATGAAGATACGACGGATGCAATACCTAATCCAACTGAAATAAGTAATTACATAATTATTTGTAAAAAAAATTTCTATTAGTTTTAATGTTTTAATTAGACCATCAAGATAATGATCTTCCGAAGGATACAAATGATGAACATGTTAGTGTAGGTGCAACAACAACAACAACATGTCATCCCCGCTGTGAATCAAAAGGTATGAAACGAAGTAATTTCTATGCATTTTTTTAATAATTTATCTTTTCATTTAAGATCATTTTTTACTTCCAGCAAATAAGAGACGTCGTGCATGTCTTTGTTCAAGTAAAACTTTGATAGATTAACTTTAAGTTGTATTCGAATTTTTATCATATTATAGAAAGACAACTAGACGAACTTGAATTTGCTACAGATAGTTTTATATCACCACAAACACAACGACAACAAGAAGTAGAGCAACAACAACCACAAGATGAACTTCATTTTCAACCGAATTTAACTTCTATTAATTCTTCTCCACCGCCTCTCCTCCTTCTTCCATCTTCGTCTTTAATGCCACCTCCAACTTCAACAATTCCATTTGCACCTGTACAATCAGTATCAATAATTCAACAAGAAGAAATTAGTGAAGAAGAAGAAGAGCAAGAACAGGAAAATCAATTAAATGCAGTATCTGTTACATTTGCTCCTCTTTCACCAGCAATGCCTTTAAATTCAACTTACATTGCGGCTCGTCGATCAATTCCAATAATAACACAAATGCCACAATCATTACTAGCTATTTCAACATTACCTTTAAATACAACTACAATTTCAGATAATATAACAATACAATCAACTTCATCTATTGTACAAATTTCAAATCTTGAACCACGAATATCCAACAATTCATCAATATTACCACCAATTGAATCAATTTCTAACCGACAAGATCAAGAAACATCAATGACACCAGCCGTTAGTCAAACAACAAGATATTCCATATCAACACAAACTGATGATGATTATTATCCAACTCATCATCATTGTAATGATGTTAGTGTATGTCCATGTGTTCAAATTTATACTCGTTCAGAACAATTATTCATGGCTAGCATGGCAATCTTCTTTCGTAATTCGATCCATGTCACACCACCAGAATCATCATTAAGAACATTCAGTAATACAATAAAAAAGAATACTAAACGTCAATCTCTAAGTCATCAAAGTATATCACCTCAATCCACTCCAATAATAAATGAGATCGAAATTCCAATTCAAATTGAAGCACATATTGACAATAATGTGAGATATTTATATTTAATGCTAATTTTTTAAATTTATTTCTACCTTTTTAAATAGAATAATATTGCAATTAATGAAACATATGTAATCAATAATAACGATGATACTATATCTGCAGTGGAACTCGAACCTCGACCATCTTCAACTACATTACTCGATACATCGACAGTAATCAATGAGACTCGATATGATAATACTAAAAAATCCGATGGCTCATCTATACAAATTAATATTGATTCTAGACAAGAACTAAATGAAAAACATTCATCACCACCGAAATCTTCTAATGATCAAAATAAATTCAAATCATTAGTATTAGCAATGACTGCTTTAAAGGATCATCAAAAAGTATGAATTTCATTCTTTTTCTTTTGTTTTTAATGTAAATATTTAGATTGAATTCAATCGCTTTCTCGAATATTTTTCTGTTCGTTCATCAACAACAATCGATGATACAACAACACATTTAATAACTGACGAAGAAGATGAAAATTCTTTAATATGTCCATTAACTGGTAAAGTTTTACAAGCGATTACACGTCATCTTAAAATTGTTTCTTATCGATGGCTGACAGTATGTTTAAGTAAAAAACATTATATTGATGAAATTCCAACATATGAAATCATTGGTGATACAATTTATAATCAACATTATGGAATGTCACGTTCTCGAATGAATATTTCGAATAATTTTCGTTTATTAGCAAATTATGCATTTCATTTAAAATGTCATGGTTGTCAACCATTTCTTGATAATCGACCATTAATTGAACTTATACATTCATCTGGTGGTCTTGTACTTAAAACACTCAATCAACATATTGATAATATTGGAAGACAAATTATAATTTTATGTTCAAAAACTTATCTACAAAATAAACCAGCATTACAACAAGCTTGTGAAAAATTAAATATTTTTTGTATTGAACCAGAATGGCTTATCGCTTCTATTGTTAAATTTGATATACAACCTTATGAACCGTGGCTATGTACTTTGTATTCATAATTTAATTTATATATATAGAACTGTTTTTGATGTATGTACACATTTTATATTATTAATTGAAATTATCATTTTTTGTTTATATTATATATTAAAATTTTACTGTTAAATAAAAGAAAATCAAGCTGATTATAAAGAGTGAAAGATAATATTTCTATTCATTATGAATTTGCTTTATTCAATATTTTCAATAAGAGAAAAATATTTACATTGAATTCAATTTATCTGATAGTGAGACTTTTTCGAAGTCGATAGTATCCGATAGAATTCAGGTGTATAGTTTTCCTATTGGAGATTATTAAACTTTTATATTATACCACACAGATGTGAAATTTCTAATGTTCTTTGAACAATGCAAAAACACGGCTTTCTCTTTCACATATACAAAGAATAACCAGAGAATAATGATCTTTGTAAATAAATACTTACTTGCTATTGCAATATCGACATTTCTGTAAATAATAGAACTGAATGTTATTTATACAAAATGATATCTATATAAATAATTTCGATATTTATATTCGCCTACATCAAAGAAAGAAAACTATTTTCAAATAAAAAAAACAAAATACGACATAGAATAATTGTACATTTCATTTATAACAATAAATCAAATGCGATAACAATAATTAGATTGCTCCAATATTTTCTATCTTATTCGATCACTTGATACATGGTATTAAAAAATAAAATGTAATACAAGCTACAGCTTGAGAAGCTGATTTTAATTATGTCTGTGTGACTATGTTCGCTATCCCAAAAGAAAATGCTATTTTCCTTGTTTCATATATGAAATAAGTTGTTCTTTATAAATTATAGAACTTTTCGTACTGTATCTTGTGGTGTATCGTGCTTGTTTGAATACAGCATGTTGTGTGATTGAGAATTAAAATACAAAACAGAATTATTAATCTGCTTTATTCGCCAGTGAAGTTTAACACAAAAATAGTTCTTATAGAAATTTTATCTACAAGACATTAGCTGAAGAGTGATCAAAGTGCACAGGAAAATAGAGTACCATTCTCTTCATCATTACATAAAAAAAGAAACTTTCTTCGAGATTACTATAGAGTATTGAAGTGTCATGCTATTACTTTTAGGATATCCCCTAAGTACATACTTTGTAAAAACGATGTCAAAAGTATTATAACATTTATGTAATTGAGTATTTGCAAAAGATAATGGAATTACTAGTTAGCTCTTCTGATTCTCATTATTATTTATCATTTCATTTTTTTGTTTTCGTTCTTGTCTACGACTTAGCAGATTTTCGTTTTCTTTCCCTAAGGAATATAAGAAACTAGATGTCGTTGAATGCTAAGGATTTTATCTTGAATAAAACCAATGTTTTTTCATTAATTCTCTTTATTATTTTAATGAATTCTACATGATGAACTCAACTTTTTATTGACTGATCGTGTGCACTCAAACAGATTCTAATATAATTGCTTCTATGTTGAATGCTAGAATGGCGATTATTAACCAATAAAAAAACGTCCACGCATACACTCGAATGTGACAGCCCTGCTGTACTGGATTACGTGTACAAAGTGCCAACTTACTCTGTTTGTATAGTATATAAAACTTGCATGTTTTCTATTTACAGATCACTATTGAGAATATAACAATGCTTGCTGGTCCACCACCAACGTATAATACGGGTTCCATCCCTCCAACAATGCATCAGCCACCATCTCAAATGCATGGAAATCAATACCAACCACCTATTTTACCACCTAATTTTCAGCCAAATCAACAACAGTTTCCTCCTCAAACATCAATGATGAACAATGGAATGAGTATGTTTTCTACGAATTTTAATATAACATATGCAAATATTCATGGTTTGTAGGTCAACCATCAGTACAACATCCATATTTAAATCAAGGACCATCACCTTCTACGCAACCTGATATTTCTACGCCACCAATAATGAATTCTCAATTTCAAGGTACACAACCTCCTCTTCATAATCATCCACCATCAAATATAAATGGTGCATCATCATATAAACAAAATCAATATCCTAATGGTCCACCATCAGTACCACATCCATATACAAATTCAGGATTACCATCATCTAATAATTTTGGTCCTCCTACAACAGGAACAAATCCTCATTTGCAAGGTTCACAACCTCCTCCTCATAATCCGCTACCACCAAATATGAATGGTGCACCATCGTATACACCAAGTCCATATCCTAATGGTCCACCATCTTCATTTCCATCAGGTGTTCACCCACCAGCTTATTATCCTAATATGCCAGGTCCACCATCCATGCCTGGTAGTCAGCCTAATGGAATTAGTTCATATCCTGGTCAACCACCATCTATGCCTGGTAGTCAACCTAATGGAATTAGTTCATATCCTGGCCAACCGCCATCCAGTGGACCAGGACAACAATCATTTCCACAATCACGTATAGATGCCGATATGGTACCCAATGTTGTACGTATATTTTATCTTGATAAATAAAACACACAGTCTCAATCATAACAATAACTATAATACTAATTTAGATTCAAGTAGTTGAACAATGTCAAGAAAAAATTCAAGAACCATTCATAACAAATGCTCCTGGCTTATTACCACCAATAGTAGGAACAAATTTCATTTGTCAAGATCAAGGTAGTTGTAATCCACGATTTATGCGTTCAACGACATATGCAATGCCAAATGCAGCTGATATGGTTAAACAATCTAATATACCTATTGCTCTATCTATATCTCCATTAGCAAAACTTCGACAAGATGAAGTAATGTTCTGATAACATTTGTTTTGATAGGAAAAAAACGAAAATTTTAATTTAGCTTGAGCCACCTATGTCTAATTTTGGTAAAATAGGTCCAGTACGATGTCATCGCTGTAAAGCATATATGTGTTCATTTATGCAATTCATTGATGGTGGAAAACGTTTTATTTGTTGTTTTTGTGAAGCAGCAACAGATGGTTAGATAATAAAAAAACACAATTGTATTTCATGCTCATTACAATTTATTTTTCTTTGATTTTATAGTGCCTCAAGAATATTTTAATCATCTCGATCATAGTGGCCGTCGAATGGACTGGTATCAAAGACCTGAACTTTGTCTTGGTTCATATGAAATTGTAGCAACTAAACAATATTGTAAAGTATGTTGTTGTTCTTCATCTGATTCCCAAACTATTTTTGTCTTTGTATTTAGGATGAAAAATGGCCTGAACCACCAGCATTCATATTTATGATTGATGTATCTTATAATAGTGTTCGTAGTGGCCTTGTTAATTATATTTGTCACATTTTAAAAACTGATCTTCTTGATTATTTACCAAAGTTTGTTCAAAATTTTAAATTTTATTTCCAATCATTATAATAATTTAATTCTAATAGAGATAAAAATGGTGAAACATCTACAGTACGAATTGGCTTTGCAACATTTGATAAACAAATACAATTTTACAATATTAAAGTAAGATATTTGATTTATATTTAACAGTTATTTAATCATTGATTTGACTGTCTATCTTTTAGGGGGCAAGTAAAATATGCATTCATAGGGGGAGAGAGAGAATGAGAAAGAGCATGTTATATTTTGTTTTGTCTAATGCTTTAGTTGTCTAACAGTATTCTAACATCTAGTTTTGAGCATGTAATCTCATTGTTGTATTGTTCATGTCAAATTCATTGTATTAATACTAGAAAAACACCTTTGCTTTATTCTGAATATGTATTTAATTTTCGTTTTTTCTTCTTATTAGACTTCACTTGGACAACCACAAATGATGGTAGTCTCTGATCTTGAAGAGATATTTGTACCTTTACTTGAGGGCTTTCTTTGTTCACCACAAGATTCACGTGGAGTGATTAACAGGTAAGAAAGAATTACATCGAAAGTTTTTGAAATATTTTTCTATTGTCTTATGTATAGTTTACTTGATCAAATTCCACAAACATTTGCAAATTCACAAGAAACAGAAACAATCTTAGCACCAGTTATTCAAGCTGGCATTCAAGCATTAAAAGTAAGATTGATTTGAATTTGAATCATTTATAAAAGTATTAATCTATATGATATTAATTAGGGAGCCAATTGTTCTGGTAAAATCTATGTATTTTCTACAACAATGCCAATCGCTATGGCTCCAGGAAAATTATCAAATCGAGAAGATAAGAAAGCACTTGGTACTGAAAAAGAAAAGACACTTCTATCACCCGTTAATAATATTTATACTAAACTTGGCGAAGAATGTGCTCAGAATGGTTGTGCTGTTGATCTATTTGTTTTTCCGAATAATTATTATGATCTTGCAACGATTGGTGAAGTTTGTCGTATATCTGGTGGAGAAATTTATAAATTTAATTATTTTTCAGTAAGATTTTCTTTATTTATCTCATCTATCAACAAAAAACGATTTTATATATTAAAGATTGAGAATGATGGTGAACGTTTATTAGATGAACTTAAACGTAATTTTCAACGAACTACTGCTTTTGATGCATTAATGCGTGTACGAACAAGTACAGGTAAGAGAAATTAATCCGAAAAAACAATTCATACGATTCATATGTATGTTTAGGAATTGGCCCAATTGATTTTCTTGGTAATTTTTATATGACAAATGCAACTGAGATGATATTTGGTACAATTGATTCTGATAAATCAGTATCTGTTGAATTAAAACATGAGGATAAATTACCTGCAGACGGTAATACTTATACTCAAGTAAGTGTTATTGGCTTTTTTTTTTTTTTTACATATTTTTATTATATTATAGGTTGCTTTGCTTTACACAAGTATATCTGGTCAACGTCGTTTAAGAATAATAACATTAGCATTAACAGTTACATCATCATATACAACACTTTATCCAGCTTGTGATCTTGATACAATTATGAATTATATAACAAAAGTTGGTTAGTACAAAAATAAAAGAAACAAATTTCATTTTAATAAATTGTTTTGTTTTGTAAAGCTATGCGTTCAGTATTAATGTCAACTCCAAAAAGTATACGAGATAGTATAATAACACAAGCTGCAAATATGCTTGCATGTTATCGAAAACATTGTGCACAAGCCACAACAGCTGGACAATTAATTTTACCTGAAACATTAAAATTATTACCTGTTTATGTAGCTTCATTACTTAAATCGGATGCATTAACAGGAAGTATGTTAAAATTTATTAAATATTTATTTGTAAAAAGATAATTTTCTATATAGCTCTGACATTAACTACTGATGATCGAAGTTGGTTAATTCATCGATTAATGTCAATGAATATTAAAGGAACATCTGCATATATATATCCAAGAATTTATCCATTGGTTTGTTGATTATCTAGAAAAAAATTTTTATTTATATATTACAATTTTATTTAGCATACTTTGGAAGAAAATTCTATTCCATCATCAATGATTCGATGTTTATATGAACGTTTTGCTGATACAGGCGCTTATGTTATTGGTAAGATAATAAGTCTTTTAATTAATTTTACTAGATTAAATAAATATCTTTTAGAGAATGGTCTTGTTATGTATATTTGGCTTGGTAGTCAACTTGATCCTACATTTGTGCAATATGTCTTTGGTCTTCCATCAGCATCTCATATTCAACCAGAAAAAGTAATAAAACTTAGAATTTATTTTAAAGAATATTTTGTTTATCTTTAGTGTCGCGCTGTTGAACTTGATAATCCTTTATCAAAAAATGTTCGAACATTATTAAATATGATTCGTGATGAACGAAATTCTTATATGAAAGTATGTTAATTTGAACGGAATATATAAATCTCTTTCTATTAATTATCTTTTTAGCTTTTTGTTATTCAACAACGTGATCCACTTGAATCATTTTTCAAAAATTATCTCGTCGAAGATAAAGGTTTTACAGGTGGTGCATCTTATGTTGATTTTCTTTACCATTTACATCGAGAAATTCGCAATATTCTTCAATGAAAAAAAAGGGGCACAGAAAAAGAGAATTTTTATTTTTTGTTTTTCTTTTCTTTTTATTTGATCATCGGGTCTTCAATTTATACGTGTATGTTTGCTCGTTATTCGTGTTTTTTTTCTCTCTTCATTATTGATAATGTTTATTGTATGAACAGTCAAACGGATAGTCTGTGCAAAAAATAACGAGCATTCTTATTCACATTGTTATTTCTTGTTTATTTTAACACATCTAACTTTATCATATTTATTTATCTGAATAAAAAACAAAGAATGAAAAATATTATTATGACATTCTTCACTAATGTATTATAGACACAAAAGAAAACGACTTGATGTTATTGGAAAATCATAATTGAAATAAACTCATCTTAACATAAATAATAATGAAAAACCACTGATAGAATTTTCACATTTATTCATAATGAATATTTGAAGCAAAATTATTTATTATATATATAATATGAGAAGAACTTGTAAAGTAGCTATTTAATAATTAATAACACTTGAAAAGAATTTATACTTCTATACTTCTTGACGTGTCAGATCGAAACAAAAATGTATAAATATTTGAAGTAATAGACAAATTTGATTTATCTCATCATCCATTTTTTTTTCATGTTAACTGAATATTAGGATGTGATTCTGTTAACAACATCGTCTTCGATGAATTATATGATTAAAACGATTACTATTATAATTATTAGTTAAACATATTTGTGTTCCATCAGATAAAGTTGATAATGATCGAGAAATAGAATATCGATGTATAAGAAATAATAGATAATTTTCTATCGACATATGAATTTTTGGCCTTATAATATATTTTCATAAAATAAAGGATAAAGATTTTTTTTTATCCAAGAGTACTTTTTTGTTTTTTTGGAGTAGCTCACAAAAAATCATGATATTATATAGATAAATATAATATGGAATAACATTTTTCATATATATATCATTTCTTGTATGATCCTTTTTTCGATGACACAGCATATAGAAATGATGGTAATGATAAGAAAGAATACTAGTTAACTTGAAAAAAATGTATCTTTATTCTTTATTCTAGCTTTATTTTTATAAATAAAGTAAGTCTTGACGTTTATTTTTAAAGTAAAGATAAAGTAACACTCCTATTATTACTTGAACATTTTTTCAACCTTCACTACTTTGATATTTTATGTATGTATCCATCGTTCTTGTCACGCATGAGTTACTTTCATATTCATCATATCTTTTCTCTTTCTTTACCTATGATTTATGTATAGCTGTCATATATTTTGATTATCATAATAATATCAAAGCAAAAGCTAGTCCTTCAAACATAAGACGTAATATTGATCAGTAATATTTCTTTTGCGCATAATTTACGCATAAATGTCAATGAAAAGAATAGTCGAAAATTGTATCTATATAATGCAATATTTTTAGAACATGATTATGTTCTGTATATAAAATAATGATAACATAAACAACAAACGTGTTCTATGCTTTTTTCAAGGCTAAACGAAAGCAGGTACATGTTGTCAATCGTCAAAATCAAGTATTGGTTTTTTTGTGTCTATTTTTTTGTGATTATACGGCGTTTCCTTGGATTGAATGAAAAAAGTGGATATTTTTGCGTTACTCTCTTTCTCTTTCCTTTTCGTTTTGTTTATCGAATGCTTGTGTATAGCTGTCATATATTTTGATTATCATAGTAATATCAAAGCAAAAGCTAGTCCTTCAAATATAAGACATAATATTGATCAGTAATACTTGTTTTGCGTATAATTTACGCATAAATGTCAATGAAAAAAATAGTCAAAAATTGTATCTATATAATGTAATATTTTTAGAACATGATTATGTTCTGTATATAAAATAATATTAACATAAGCAATAAACGTGTTCTATGCTTTTTTCAATGCTAAACGAAAGAAGGTACATGTTGTCAATCGTCAAAGCCAAGTATTCGTTTTTTGTGTCTATTTTTATGTGATTATAAGGCGTTTTCTTAGACTGAAAGAAAAAAGTGGATATTTTTTCGCTACTCTTTTTCTCTCTCTCTTACCTTCGTAATGGCTATATAAGACTGAGAGTATCCTTGTAAAATTAAATAGTGTCCTTACTTCGAAAAACCTACTATCAAGTAATATTTACTCTTCCATTCAATACAAATAAATCAAATGGCTAATACCAAGACAATAGTGTACATTTTGGCCTTACTTATGTTATGCTCATCGTTATGCAAGGCCCGCTTCATCAATGACAATTTTGATGAAGATACTTCTGTCGAAACTGGTGAACAACTTATTAAGCGATTTCTCCAGACATACCAACAGAAGCGTATCGTTCATTCATTTTAACTATGATCTGTGTTATTTAGTATGCTTTCGTCAAATATATGGTATTTACTAAAATATCTGAATAGAATAATACTTAGAATTATTCATTTGTTATGAATTTCTTTATCATTATATACACTTTGATTTTTTTTGTTGTAAATAAGAATATATTCGAAGAGAGGATTTGTCTCAGTTATTCACCAGTCCTATATTTATTGATTATATGTTAGAAATTTGAAGTTTTTCGTAATAGTACATGAATGCTGAATAATAGCTTCTTCATAAATGTACATTAACTACAGACTTATTGAATGTTAAATGATCTTTTCTATTGTTTTCTAAAATGAACAAGTATTGGAATAGAACATTGCTTACAATTATTCATTATCAATATAAACACTAATTTCATCACAATTGTTCGGTTTGTTGTCAACCGTGAAAATATTTGAACAGAATTATAATTACAATTATTCATTTACAATGTATTCAGTAAGTGTGATGAATCTCGAATTTTAACTACGAAGACGAATATATTTGACTAGAGTTCTGGTTAAAAATATTCATTTTTAGTGTATGCATCAGTCAAAACGAATCCCAAATTTTTTCTTATAGCATGACATATATCTGAATAGAATACTAGTATTGAATATTCATTTGTAATATATTCATCAATCATATGTAAACTCTTAATTTTTCTTGAAAAACCAAATGACAATCGAATGAAATTATGCTTAGAGTCATTCATGTAGTATACAATTTTTGTCCTTATTATTACAGTATCTATGTATTTTGAAATTCTAACATTATATTCAAATAGAATTTTTGTTAGAAAAATTCAATTATTATCCGACGATCGATCACTTGAATGATCGAAATTCTACTTTCAAAAGAAATAAAATAATTGAATAGAATGATGTTTTTAGTTGTTCATTTTCTACTGATTTCTTATATATAAAATTATTCCTAGCTTTTTCTTGAGTATATGTGATTTTTGACTAATTTTATTTCAGTTAGAACTATTTATTTAATATATACTATACAATCCTATTGTAATGTCACTCATATTTTGAGAAACGAAAAAGATATTTGAATAAAGTATAACAATATAAAATATTCATTTTCCACGAGATCTTTGATGATTGTTTGAAATGAAACTATATTTTGAAGAGTTAAACGTATCTGGATCTGCTTATGTCTGCAATATTCATTTTCTGTGCGACTATAGCTTCCAATACTCATCAAATTAATTTCTGTTGCTGTATTTAAAATATTTCTATCTAACCAGTGTTCTACAATTCATATATTGAACTATCTCCAATTAGGCATACAATGACAAGTATTGTGTTGAATTCGTCAATATATTTTAATGAATCTTTTGTTCGCCCAATTTATATTACACGTGATAATAAATCATATACTTTGATGCAAATAATACATTGTATATTCTTAAACATATTAGTATGTACCTTTTCTATGCAATATTCATTATCCTTTATTCTTCGATCAAAGAGTCTCTGAGGAGTATCAGTTTGATTTCAACAAAATAACTGAATCATGGTTTGGTACGAAACATTCATAATCACTATCTCTTAGCTATCTAGTGTCATAGAAATGTGACTTTAAACTAACGAAAATACTTGAACATAATCTTCATAAAACTTATTCATTGTCCATTAACTTGTCAGTCTTTAAACATAACGTAAATCCTACATTTGATTGAATGAAGTATGTGAATATAATGTTTGTTAGATCTGTTCATTTGTGACTTATCTTAAAATGTGCTACTGTCAGATAGAAATTCCATTTTTATGCTAAAAAAAATTTGAACACAATCTTCGTATGACTTATTCATCTATGATTTATTTGTATATGTTAAACTGCTCTGGGAAATGTTCTTCGAACCAAGTAAAATACAAGAACATCATCTTTTTGTGACTTATTCCTCTATAACTTGTTTGCGAATGTCAAACTGCTCTAGAAATTGTTCTTAGAAGGAAGTAAGATACCAGAACATACTCTTAATATTACTTATTCATCTATGATTTGTTTGCGAATGTCAAACTGCTCTAGAAATTGTTCTTCGAACCAAGTAAAATACAAGAACATAATCTTTA